AGTGGGTGTTACCATTAAGCATCAATACAACCATAGCAAGAAAATAAGAATTTACATCAATACAATTAGTAAGGAACTTAACAAGTTCCACTCCATTCTCTATCAGTTGACTTCTAACTTCCATATATCATTCTCTCTCCTTAAGTGTAACCTAAGATACATGGCATTAAAAGGAGATACATAAGACAATAATGTCTCGTGAGCTACGTGGGTTTGTGACCCAAAACATTTATCACTTTTTCATCAAAAACGTTTAATCTTTGCAAAACATAGTTTTAGACCATAAATCAGTTTCAAGCATTTTCAAGGAAAACTCGTTTCGTACGTATCATAAATATCATTTCATTTCATTTCATATCTCATCATATCATTTCAAAAAAACATATTTCCATATTCCATTTTCTTTTATCATTAAGGGCTAATTCCGGTATTAAACCGTTGTCATTTTTATACTTAGGGTCTACGTCCAATAAAGGAACCACTCCCAAGTCTAGACCAAGGTGGAAAGAACAAATCAATCCACCAATGCATCATTTCCATTAGGACATCTATCTCGCGAAGGGGAGGCGCCACCCCGATAGATTCCTCCAGTGCCTCTTACGAGGTATCATGGCCCGGGCAATTTTCATTTCATTACTTTCCAATTCATTTAATTACTTTTCCATTCCTTTTCATTACTTTACGTTTCTTGTCATTACTTTCCATGCTTTACACATTTCATATTAGTATCATAATACTCGTTTCAAAACATTTTAAACACATTATCAAAATATTTGTTATTTTAAAACATTCTTTTCTTTCAAAAACATTCTTGCCTTCAAGGCATTCTTTTTAAACATTCTTTCCAAAAGCATTTAACACTTTCACTTCAAAACGTTTCATATATCAAAACATTAGTATTTCATTATTATAAAAATCATTTTGCCATGTACCCCAAAGTGGAGAAAATGCCAACACGTACTCACCTCAATCACACATAGGTTAGCTAGTGCTCTTCTAGTTCCTTTCCCTATAGGAATCCTCTTCAAACACTACCTACACCATATATGGACATAAGTCATTAAAATGACCAAAATACCCCTCAAAGGTTCAAATACTAAATTTTATTGCTTCATACAATTCCTCGTGCAAAAATATGAATATAGGCGAAAACTGTGCGTAAATCCGAGTCCGTATGCAAAAGTTATGACTAAAATACTAAAATTCAGATTTTTGGTCGAGCTGGGAAAACAGTTGTATGTGCGCGGGTCGTGTGCTTTGCCACGCGGGTCGCGTGCCGTAGCAGCCCAAACACCCCCAAAAACCCACTTTTTGAGTCTTAAACTTGTTTGGATGGTTTTGGTCTTTTAGGTAACTAGTTGTAACACTTTTAAAGGTTTCCAAGCACTACTAGAGGACATTTTATCATGTCAAAACATTCCACTTAATTCATTAAGTCCTCAATCAAAATGCTAAGTTCATAATGCTTACAAGCATTCAAATGAAAGGGTTAAGAGCTCAAGTTGCTCCAAAACACTCTTTAACCAATATGACTTATTCCCAAATCATTTAATACATCATTGGGTGTTGTCAAGTACATAAACCACCATTAATCTCATTGCAAACACTTAATCCAACTATGGAATCCTCAATTCCATTCCATGTTTCCTAAATTGCTCTTTTTGCCCAAACAATCACTAGAGCTAGAAACTTACTAGCATCCCCTCTTGTTTGTTTTTCACTATCATCTCTTGAGTGTCCATTCATGTTCATGAATATCATTCACTTCTTATATGAGATTCATTATGTAATTACCAATAAATTTCCCAAAATGCCCTTATGGCCAATTATTCCATAAATTCAACTATAGATCACTCAATCCTTCATGTTCTTGCATTCAAATCATATTTTTAGTATCAACTCATGATTATGAGTATCATATACTCATCAAATGCTCACATTCCAAGAATTTCATTGTTTTCATCACAATTTCTCACATAACCATCTAAAACTCATGTTTATGCAACATTCTCCCATCATGGATGTGTTTGATCATTCTAATTGGATTCATTGCCATCAAACATCATCTAGGTCATTGAATCCATTCCAAATCTAACATATAAACATGAAATCCCCAATTTGAATTTCTAGGGTTCATGAGGGTTTTCACCTAAATCCTCAAATCCATCAATGGGATGATTGTATTGATATTAGGATCATCAAAACAACTCAAGGGAGGTTAGAAACCAAAACCCTAATCATTAAACCTAATGAAATTCGACATTGGGGTTCATCCCCTTCATCAATTCGAATTTTAAGCTAAATGGGGAGGTGTTTTTTTTACCTTGCAAGCCTTGAATCCTTCTCTCCTTTGCTTGTTTGCTTAATTCACCACTTAAATCACACCCTAGATGGGAGGTTGAAGAAGAATCACCATTAGAAGCTCTCTATAATGCTTCATACGTATCTGGAAGAGAAGTGGTGAGAGTGTTAATCTTATTTCCCTCTTTTTCACATTTAGTCCCTCAAATTTCACAATTTTGTCAAAATTGGTCCATTCTTCCAACATATGTGACTTTTCTTTGATAATAGACATCCTAAGTCCCTCTCCATCCATTACATAACTTTTTTTAGTCACTTCTATTAGTTGAGTCAACCCTTAGTCAAACATACTTTGCCAAATTGGCACTTTTGGTCACTTAACTCTGAAATGTTAACATTTCAACGTTTAACTTTCCAAGCTGTATATCAACTAATGATATAATTACCATTTAAATGACTTAATTATGTAAATAATCCTTTATTTAATTACTTAATTAATTTAAGAACCTTATCTTAAATTTTAGGATGTTACAATTATCTACCCTTAAAAGGATTCTGTCCTCGGAATCAAACCGCGAGCCATCTCATTAGATTTTCGTCCCATCACTTTCTAATTTCTACGATGTCCATGTCATCTTGGTCATCTCTTCACAATTGTAACCCGTTCTAATAATTATTAATTACATTATTAGGGGTTATTAATCTTCTTGGACACTTTTACCCCTTTTTTCCATTTTTGATCTTTTAACAACATCATACAATAAGGTTATCCAACCTTAACTCAAGCATGCTAACATGTACCAACAAGCTTTAAGTCATTTATGAATCCTTATTGGTTCCTTCCAACCCAACAATCATGATTTGACTATTTCTTTACTTAGGCATTTGACGTTGCTTAAGTACATCCTTTCGTGCTCAAGCACATCAATATTATTTCTTTATTTTCCATACTCATCACCATCAATTCATTGCATTCTATTATACTCTTAAGCATAATACGCGATGCTTACACTATAGTGCATCAGACATTCCAAATTATTGTTACTTTTAAACTTCCATTTCATTTTGTTTTATCACTTTATCTCTTGCTAATACTTCTACCTTTCTTCCCATAGTTCTTTCTTTAAAGTTACAAAAATGACACTTTACGCTCTATAGAGTTTACAACTCAAAATTTTTTTATATACTAACGAAGCTTTCCCTCAGCATCCTCAATAGGATGAACCAAAAATGTATAAATTTCCTTGTCTACTACCTTTGCACCAATAGTACCATACTATTTAAGTCTATATATACTTCTAGGACCTTGTCCCTAACTCCCTTCATTCATTTTAACTGTTGTTTCAAACTAAAATCTCATTTCATGAGTTAACCCATTTCTCAGGCCGCATGCCTAATCATATTATGACAAGAAGTTTTAAATTGCATGGTGTTGCTTCAGTTCAACTCTCAAAAGGTTGTTGGGTTCGAATGATCTTACCACTTGTAACTTGATTCTTCCCGACTATCTACCCCTTAAAAGAACTGAAGGTATTTCTTTTAAGGTTAAATCAAAAGATGATTTTCATTATTCATGCCTCATTTAACATTGTTGCTCGAGTACTCAACTTTTCTATTGTGCACTTCGTCAGTTTAGCTTCTCAACTACCATCATACTTTACATCTTTCTTTTCTTGTCCTTTCCTTATGAATACACAAACAACTTTTGTATCAGTTGATTTCTGCATCCTTTGGTCATAGACAAGTGACCCGCAATGCTCTGAGTCAAAGTTCTATCTTTTATGGGAACTCATAACATAAGATCTCATAATTATAAGTCTAACCAATCTTGTCTAGTTGTCGTATACATACTAGTATCAATACTCAACCCTAGTACTCAAATTTTACTTGAGTGTGCTTGGTCTGCATCATCAGGTTACATAAATTCGAAGCTCTAAATCTTGTATTCTTGGATTGTTCGTGTCACTCATAATTTCAAACATCAAGTGTTGTTCTTACACAGCCTCCAGAGTGTTATGAGTTCTTATAACATCGCATCATCACACTTTCGTATCCTTCTTACCATCTACTCCTTAAAAGAAATGAGGGCATTTCTTTTAAGGTCTAAGTCACTCTTTTATTCTTACACTGAAGTTATTCATTTCTCTAACATGTCCATGGAAATTTCAAAATTTCCTTACTCATCATTATCTTCTTGACAGTACTTTTATACGAACTTCAGGTACTCGTTCTTTTAATGTTCAATTTGCATCATCTAATATTCCATCATGTGGAAACGTCTTCCTACTTTATCGGTCGTGGAACACCTTCTAGATACTGCTCTTTCATCATCAAACTATCACACTTCGGAGTCTTGTTTCTTTTGTCGCCCTTATCATGTTCTCTGTGTAATCCTAACATTTAGGGTTTAGGGTTTAGCGTTTAGGGTTTAGGGTTTAGGGGTTTAGGGTTTAGGGTTTAGCGGTTTAGGGTTTAGGGTTTATGGGTTTAGGGGTTTAGGGTTTAGGGTTTAGGGTTTAGGGTTTTTTTTTTGGATAAAAGGGATTACCCTTAGCAAATTTTATTAATTAAAAGAAATTACTAAAAAAAGGAGGACAAACGCCCAAGAAAAATAAAAATAAGACCAAGCTAAGGGACATGCCCCAAAGTGAGGAAAGAACAATACAAACCAAAGATCTAGCTAATCAAGACCTAAAATTTCAATCCTGGTCAACTGGAATAGAGATATGGCCACCGTGAGAGGAGCTCTCATGAGTATCGGAAGTTGGGAATGTATCTCTGGGAAGGATGACAGGAGGGATGCTAGAATCAACTTCAGTGTCGCCAATTCTTTGATGCGAGAGGGCATCAAACATGTTGGAAGACATATTCTTTTTCTTCGGATCACGAGAGATTGGCTTGTAGGCTTGAGTGATCTTTAGTGCAGGCCCTTTACCTTTGCGATTGTCGACTTGAACCTTCTTTTTAGGAATAGGAATTGCTCGCGTTCTTCTTTTAACCGTTTGAAAACCTTCTTTGTCAACTTCTTTAGGTATGGACGTAGTCGTCTTTTGGACGGGGGTGCTAGTCATGTGAGTGGGGCAAGTGGCATGGTCATGACCAAAGATTTTGCAATGGTCACATCTCTTCGGGATCCAAGAATACTCCACTCGGAGGGAAGTAGATGTTGCACTTTTAGCCGTAAATGCTTTGATTTTTATTTCTTTAGCCCAAGGGGCATTAGCCGACATCTCAATGAGGATACGAGCATAAACCGCTCTACCTGTAGCCTGCTCACACATGGTAGTTCTATAAGAATCCACCTCCAAAGGCTTTCCAAGTTTGCTAGCAATAAGACTCAAGCCATCCTTATTAAAAAGTTGGAGAGGGATGCCAAAAATGTTAACCCACACAAGAACCCGATCATGAGTTGGTTTTTCAATGAAAACATTCGGGTCCCATTTCCTTAGAAAAAGCGGGATACCATTAATCTTCCAAATTCCCTTTTGGAGGACGTAATTCATACCCTTGTCGTTGTCAAATTTAAAAAAGAACATGTCATCATTATTGATAAAAATGTCACATATCCCATGTTCCTTCCAAATGTCTTGGAGCCGATCTTTGACAAGCGGAAAGGCAAATCTTTTACCCACAAAATAACCATATAAAGTACGTTCAAAAGGAATGCTTCCCTTTGAAATGATATCCGATGGGATAATTAAAACATCATCATCCGATGTTTCAAGGTTATTAATGAAATCAAGTTTTAAAGGAGAAACGTGGGGTACCGCTTCATTATTTAAAACAGCAGGATCAGACATGCGGATTGGGTCATCAACATTTGAGACTAGATGAAGAGGAATAGGCCCAGAAGGAGGTGGGTTTGACATGCCCACAAGAACTTAAGCAAAATAACGAGGTTGAAGGGTAACACGTGGGATGTTGGGCTCATAGTGAAGAGGCAATGGGCTTGAATCAGCTAGGGTAGCCGATGGGCTCCCCAAAGCAATACCTGAATTAATTTTTTTATTGTAGTCGGATATAGAGGCGTCATTGGGCGTGGGGTACACAAGATGAGGGAATCTAGGAGCATTAAATGCCTTGTCCCCTTCCTGGATACAACCATTAAAGAGCATGGGGGGAGAACCTTTGTGGTCGACGTGGCTATCTCACCATCACCTAAAAAGGTGGGATAATTAATGCATGCATTATTTATGGAAGCCACGTTACCATTTAGGGTTTAGGGTTTAGCGATTAGGGTTTAGGGTTTACGGTTCAGGATTTACGGTTTAGGGTTTACGGTTTAGGGTTTTAGGGTTTAGGGTTTAGGGTTTAGGGTTTAGGATTTAGGGTTTAGGGTTTAGGGTTTACGGTTCAGGGTTTAGGGTTTAGGGTTTACGGTTTACGGTTCAGGGTTTAGGGTTTAGGGTTTAGTGTTTAGGGTTCAGGGTTCAGGGTTCATGGTTCAGGGTTCAGAGTTTAGGGTTCAGGGTTCAGGGTTAAGGGTTCAGGGTTTAGGGTTTAGGGTTCAGGGTTAAGGGTTCAGGGTTCAGGGTTTAGGGTTTAGGGTTTAGGGTTTAGGGTTTAGGGTTTATGGTTTGGGGTTTAGGGTTTAGGTTTAGAGTTTAGGGTTTAGGGTGTTTTTTTTGGGGAAAGAGGCCACAGCCCCGGCAAAGATTTTATAACATAAAAAGAAAATACAAGAGTTTACATCACTTTTGGACAAACCCCAAAAACGATACAAAGCCAAACATTAATAAGGTACCAAAACCAAAGACTAGGTCTAAAAACAATAAAAGCAAAAAAATAACATTTTATTTTCATCCAGCTCCACAAACCGGAGTGGTCTTCAACTTTGTAAAAATCCAAGTAACCCATTTGTCTTCTAATCTTCATGTATCTTCCAAAATTGGTATCCTCTTGCTTCCTCCCAATCCAAGTGATGGGTTTAGGGTTTAGGGTTTAGGGCTTAGGGTTTTAGGGTTTAGGGTTTAGGATTTTAGGGTTTAGGGTTTAGGGTTTAGGGTTTAGGGTTTTTTTTGGGAAAAAGGGAATCTCCTTGGCAAAATATATTAAGAATAGGAAGAGTTACAAAAGAAAAGGGCAAACGCCCAAGAAAAAGAAAAAAGACTAGCCAAGCTAAGGGACATGCCCCAAAGCAAAGACAAAACAAAAAAACAATTAGAGACTAACTAAAAAAAATAAAAAACTAAAATCGTCATTCCTGATCAATTGGAGAAGAGATACAACCATCATGAGAAGAGCTCGACAGTGCGTCAAAAGCTGGGTGAGTAGCACTCAGATGTATAACAGGAGTGACACGAGAATCATCATCAATATCATCCACTCTTTGATAGGATAGAGCATCAAACATGTTTGTGGTAACTTTTTTCTTTGGCTCTACACGGATAATTGGTTTATAGACTTGAGAGATCTTTATAGCAGGACCTTTTCCTTTACGGTTGCCAATGGGAGCCTTCTTTTTTGGAATTGGAAGAGATCTAGATCTCCTCTTTACCGTTTGAAATCCTTCATTATCAACTTCTATAGGGGTAGGCACAGCCGGCTTTGGGTCGGGAGTACTAGTCGTGTGAACTGGGCATGTGGCATGGTCGTGACCAAAATTTTTGCATTGGTCACATATTTTTGGGTTCCAGGAATACTCCACTTTAAGTGTTGTAGAAGTAACACCTTTAGCCGTGAACGCTTTGATTTTTATATCTTTAGCCCAAGGATCTTTAGCTGACATCTCAATGAGGATACGAGCAAAACCCGCTCTACCCGTAGCCCGTTCACACATGGTGGTAGTATAGGAGTCAACCTCCAAAGGTTAAAGGTTTTCCAAGTTTGCTAGCAATAAGACTCAAGCCATCCTTAGGGTTAGGGTTTAGGGTTTAGGGTTTTTTTTGGATAAAAGGGATTACCCTTGGCAAATTTTATTAATAAAAAAGAAAATACAAAGGAAAGAGGGCAAACGCCCATGAAAAAAACAAGACAAGCTAAGGGACATGCCCCAAAGCAAACACAAAGAAAACAACTAGGAACTAACTACAAAAAGAGATAAAATCGTCATCCCTGATCCATTAGAGAAGAGAAATAATCACCATGAGAAGAGCTCGGCTGTGTGTTAGGCACTGGGTGAGTATCTCTGGAATGGGAAACAGGAGGGATACGAGAGTCATCATCATTATCATCCACTCTTTGATGAGAAAGAGCATCAAACATGTTAGTCGTGACCTTTTTCTTTGGCTCAACACGAATCACTGGTTTGTAGACTTGAGAGAACTTTATGGCAGGCCCTTTTCCTTTATTGTTGTCGATGGGAAGCTTCATTTTTGGAATTGGAATTGATCTAGATCTCCTCTTGACCGTTTGGTATCCTTCATTATCAACTTCTTTTGGAATGGGCATAGCAGGTTTTGGGTCCGGGGAACTAGTCGTGAGAATAGGGCATGTCGAATGATCATGACCAAAGATTTTGCAATTATCGCATTGTTGGATTAATGTCTAAGTCCATAACTATAATTGGTAAGACTTGACCCGACCCGGCATGGTCCATTTGGGTTGCATGGCATCATGCATTTGGATAGACTATAATGAGAGAAATAACACTTAAGGTTGGTTAATATATTATAAGTTCTAATATATTAATAAGGTTATTTAATTAGTATTGATCAAGAATTAATTTGGAATTAATTAAGTGATCAAAAGGAGACTAATTAAATATATGGGTTGATTGTGTAAATCATTCATTCTTATATATGTGGGCTTGTGATCCAAGATTCCTTATGTTGGACTAAGTCCATGGGGTGACCCATGGATACTCCATGGAGGTTAAAATCCATGGAGCATAAGGAATGGGTAAAGTTATGAGTTACATGGTGTAACCCTAATAGCCACCATATAAAAGAATCCCATGGCTCAAGAAATCATGCACTAATGTGTGAATATGAGGGCTAGACGATTTCAAGGAGTGTTCCATTTCTCTCAAGTCATTCCATGTGCATTTGGTGTTGTGTGAACCATTTGAGGTGTCACACTTGGGGCACTAGGCACTCAAGCTTCATGGAGACAAGCTACATCAAACAAAGGTATGTATTCTATCCATTTGATTACCCAAGTATCAAGTATTGTATGCTAGATAGGGTAATACCTTGGAAAGTTCATAATTGCGTGTATAATAGAGAAAACATAGATCCAAGGTATTTAGGGTTGCATGTACACTTAGGAGTGTTAGAATGCTCAAAACTCATCAGTGGTATCAGAGCCAGGTTTGTTTTCTTGTTATACTTGCAAAACTAGCTGAAAAATCGAATTTTGGAACCCCTGACAGCATATATTCGACTGTTTTGGCTAGAAATGGACTAGGAACATTACCCTTAGATGTTTTTGGACTTATAAACTTGTTTTTGATGTGGTAATGTTCATGCTAATCCAATTTCAAAGATAATTGTCAATAGATTCATGTTTTGTATTAGTTTAAAAGTTATGCTAATTACTTGAAAAAAATTTGATGTGAATTATCTTTGTTCATATGAGTTTATTAGATTAATAGAAAAGTTAATTGATTATGTGTTTTCAATCCATTTTAATCTAAGAGTTGATTCTAAAGTGTGTTTTTGTAACTTGTCCTCAAGTTATATGAAAAGTCACATTTAAGTTTCATAAAACTCATAAAAAGTTGGCAATGGTTACAAAAATGAAGAGGCTTGTCCTCATTAAATGGTTTTATGACTCCATAACTTGTCCTCAAGTTATGGAGGTTCAAGAGTCACTTCATTAAATGATAAAATGTGTAACCTTAATTAGTTCCATAAGTTACAAAAATAAAGAAAAGTTACATTCTTTTATTAGTTTAAAGTCTTCCATAACTTGTCCTCAAGTTATGGAACTTGAAGATTTTTTTTTTTTAATTAAAACTACTTTAAACACATAAGTTATGGAATTAATTAGTTTTGAATATTTTCAAAACTTGCCCTCAAGTTTTGGAATTTGTAAAGTTTTCCCCATGAATACTTTAATTCCAAGTTAGCCCTTAGAATTTTAAAAGTTAAAATTCAACCCTTATACTTTATAGTATTATAAGTTAATAATAAATATATGTATAAGAGCAAGTCAGTCTTACCGTTAGTAGGCCTCATTCACGAAGCCGGTCTATAAGGGGGGTATAAGGTTACTGCCTATAAAATGGCAGTTTAATGGGTGTCCACTCTCACCCACCGCTTCCTTAACTGGTGGAGGGTCGTTAGCCGAACGGGTAGGACAAGGACTATAATTCTCCCTTCATTAAAAGTATTAATGATAAATACTAAGTAACTAAACACTTATAAATTCCCAATCTTAGTTACTTAGGAAAATATTAATAAGGTGCTAATCCATGAAATTACACTTTGCACTTTGTTTAAACCGTTAGTGGAGTGTGTGTGGTTAACCTGCACACTAACCTGGATTTAACAAAGTAGGCAAAGGGTAACTTAATATTTATCATAGTATCGGTGGAGCTCGTGTGGTTAACCGGCACATCGATTGAGGGGTAAATATTAAGGGTACCAAGTATATTTGCATGGTTACTTCACACCTTGTTTTGTGATCCTCGACATCCCAGTCACAAAACCTGAAGGGCACACTCGAGATTGAAACATGTCATTAAAAAGTTCAATGAATCTCAAAAGATCTAGGAGTTTCAAATCCAATTAAAAACCTAATTACATTATTTCGTTTTTCATGGTGGAAATTGGTTTATCGTCATTTACCTACCTTCAACTATTTTATAACTCGGATTACGGCATCCCTCTTCCAGTTATAAATAGGTTGTTGGATCCTAGCCTTAATATTTCATATTGGGTGTTATATTAAAGACTTTAGATCAACTATCTTGAATATCTCCCAA